ACACCCACCCAACACACACCTCCTTGCCCCACGCACACCCCAGAGCCCTCTGTCGCCGGCCCGGGTCTGGGGGAGGAATGGAAATAACCACACTCCACGGCTGCTATCCTTGTACGGAATTGCTCTTGCTGGTTCTCATCCTGTGTCGTCACATTCGCTTCCCCCTCCTGCACAAGCACGCCTGGTATTTCCGGAAAATCAGGGAAAGATGCGGTTGAGAGCTGTCCCCTCTCTCTGCCCCACCTCAGCACAGGGGCAGCCCCCAAGCTGCAATGCCCCTCTGCATTCTTCACCATATTTCCTCTTTTTTTTTTTTTTTTTTTTAAATAAAAAGGAAGCATAGCACTCTAGAAGAGAGGAGAGATGAACATGTAAAAAATTATATATATTTTTATATATATGATTCATATCTATTTACAACATGGCTGGGACAGACAGCACAACATCCAAGGAGGTTCCCCAGCCACTGCCAGTGCTGCCCCGGCCAGCTCACACAGGGTCTGGAAACGGGACAGAGACCAAAGCATGGACCCATGGTTCCAAGTGGGCAGCCGCCGATCCCGCTACGTTCCTTGCTGAATCCACAAAAAGAAAACTATTCTCTGCAGCCATGAGGCTGGCAACAGAGCCCCTTGCTCACGGTGCCCTCACGAGTGGAGCTGCGGCTGGCTTGCTGCGAACCACCCAAAGGCAGACACTAGCATTCGAGCACACCCTTGGCAAACACTGTCCCGGGAAGCAACACCATGTTCCTTGCTCCAGCCAGCAGCAAGAAAGCAAAAGCCTGAGTCAGCCAGCCAAGGACACACGTAAGGAAAGCCATGCCCATGCAGAGCATCACCCGTTGCCTCCCTGCCTTGGTTTCTCCTGACCTGATAGGAATCCCTAAAAGAAAAAAAAAAAGAATGGAGAAAAAAAAGAGAAAAAAAAGAAGGAGGGTATAAAGAAAAAAAAAGAAAAGGAAAAAAAATGAGGGGAAAAAAGAGAGAAAAAGAAGAAAGAGGAAAAAAAGGGGGGGAAAAAAAAAAAAGGACATCCACTCAACTTCCTTTTGCTCATGTGCCTTCAAAACCAGGCCTAAACCAGGCAGGTTTAGTGCTGCCACTGCCCAGGATGGGCGGCCGCTTCATCTCCGCTGCACGAGGAGCAGGGAGTACACGCACCGAGCTCGCACATTGTTCTGCAGGCTGCAGCCATCACACCAACGTCTTTGGGTTGATTTTTTTTTTGTGGGGGGTTTTTTTTTGGCTGTTGGTTTGGGTTTTTTTTCTTTTCAGGCCTGGAACAAAGAAAAAGCAAGAAGAAAAAAAAGGGAGAAAGAAATCCAAGCTTGGGGTGCCTCACACTGTCAGCACAGCTTTGCCTCTCTGCTCCTCTCTTCCTAATCTCCATGCTCTCTGTCTCCAATGGTTTTTTACCTTCCAGGGTGGTTATTCCCAGTCCTCCCTCTCTCCCTCCAGAGAGCAGCTCCAACAGCTCACATCTGTCTCATCCGCTGCTGCTAGCCGCCACTTTGCGAGTGCCAAGGGGCATCAGGCTGGGGCTGCGTGCGACCAGACAGGGCTCTGCCTGCCTGCTTAGCCACCCTCTCCTGTGTCCCAAGCACCCTGCTGCCGGTGGGACCCAGCTCACCACCTTTTCGCTGCCTACCTGGCAGCTGGGAGAGGAGCCATCTCTCCCCCTTGCCAAGGCAGCCAGCCTCGCTGGCCAGACCCGACCCGGGACAGAGGAACTGCCCCCAACCCCCCTGGGGCAGCTGTGAGCCTCATGCCGCACCGCTCCAGCACAGCCACGCTCGGATACCCCCAAAACAGCAAACACCTCGCCACAGCCCCAAGCCACGAGGACTGTTTCAAACACTGCCCGGCCCCTCTCCCACAGCCATCGAACGCATCGTCCCCTCCTGTGAGCTCAGCTGCTTTGTGGAAGCAGAGGAGAGATCCCCGGCAGCTCAGCCGAGCAACGCAACCACAGAATTTTTTGCATATCAGCTAATTTCCTCACTTAGAAGCTCTAACAGACACACCTAACTAAACTTCCAGATCATGTACCACACCTTTTGCCCAGCCGGTTCTTCCTCTGCAGATGTCCAATGCCTGAAAAGCATTCACATGCCACAGCCCTGAGCTCTCCCCTCCTGCCAAGCAAACAGCAGTTTCTCACGGGGACGCTTGACTCTCCCAGCAAAGAGGCAGCGCTTCAGCGGCTCTGCAAGCGAGGACGGTTTCAAACAGTGTGAAAACTAAAACAGCAAACGGACTCGCTAAAAGGAACAGCCCAATTGAATCTGCCTGTGCATCCCGGGCTACTGACACCTCTTGCTCGCCGTCTCGGTTTTGGTGTATGTTCGCTGTAAATACTCAAATAACTATGTGGACTCTGGTGCTCCCATCCCTATGGTACAGTGAAGTTCAATCCATTTAGCCAAAAGAATAAAGAAAATAGAAAAAAACCCAGCTTGTGAGTGCAGGCTACCCTGCCAGCTTGCTGGTTACAAGCGAGGATTTTCTCTGCGGGAGGTCTTGTGGTGTGGGGATGTGGTCTCCTGTCACCAGGTTCTTGTCTGGCCCCGCACTTGGCAACTGCTTGTTCTTCATCTTTGCCTTGGCCATGTTGTAATCACCCGAATCAAAGTATTTTTGCTGGAAAAAGGAGAGGAGTTCAGGTTACTTTGATTTGCAGGACTGTGGGGACATAGCAGAGACACAGACACCTGCCCACAACTATGATCCTTTTAAGTAGCTGCCGGGGTTGCTCAAAACCAGGTCACAAAAACATCAGGCAAGGGGAAAATCCAAGCAAGGGACCCTGGCTTGATTTAAAAGCCCTTTAGCACCCACCCACAAACCCCAGTGTGACTTGACCTGCCCCAGCTGGAAGAATCTGGGCCCCACGACCGCTGCCTGTCTGACCTGAGACACCAAGGTGCATTTTCTCCCTTTGACCCACCTTTGGGCGTTTGCAGCCTGTGAACTTTTGCTGCTTGGCGTGGCACTTGCTGGGTAAAGACCAGGTTTGTCCTGCTCTGCCCTTGCACCGCGCTCAGCACGACAGAGATTCAATCCCAGTCCAGAGACCCCCCCAGACAGCCGAACGCAGGCGCAGCCACCTCAGCAGACACCTCCAGGCAGAGGTTCAGCTGCAGCGGCAAAGCCAGGGGACGTTTGCTGAGACAGTTTATTCTGGTTTGCTGAACAGATGAGCTGATGCGACAGAGGCAGGATTTTCCCACCAGGGAGCACAGCCCGGACAGTGCCAAGTCCTTCACCAGACCACCCAGGCTCCCAAGAGCCGAAACAACGCAAGGAAATGCCTGCGAAGACGTGGCTGGAGGACACCTCCCTGTTGCACAAGCACCACCAACCCAGGGCTCAAAGGGCATTTCCGCTCCCTTATCAGACACATCATCATGGGACTCTCCTTCACGGTGCTGCTTCACTCCCCACAGCAGCGTAGGAAAGGCTGAAGACCAAAGCAGAGCCTGTGTCAGTGCTACAGACAGGGCTCTGCTGGGAACGAGGAGCTCTGAAGAGCCCAGTTCTGTCCTGATGCACCATCAGCCCCCGATGAGCCCAGTCCAAACAAAAAACCCTCCCCTTCTTCAGCGCCAAGCCATTAAACAACCCTCCTTTTTGTGCTTGCTTTAGGAGGTGGTACCTAAACCAGCCCCGGTGATCACGTCAACAGTGAGGGTGAGCGCACACGGCGGCGGCACAGGCAGAGGGGACAGCTCTCAATACAAGCTGAAAGGGAAGCGGCAGGACAGAGCCAAACCCTGCGCGGTGTGACACAGAGACACCGTGTGTTCAGAGCCGGGGAAGGCACACGGCCACTGGCTGCCAGCAGCTCAGGAGGGACTCATGTTTCCTGCACCAGCCTCCGCAAGGAGGAGAGCCAGCAGTGACAACCCAAGCAGGCTGCAGATGGCTCTCGGAGAGGGATTTAATTACGTTTCCAGGGAGCACAGTCAGAGGGTTGGCTTTTCACACCGGTGCCAGCAACGGAGATGCAGTCAAGCTGACTCACTGGCGTTGTCGGTGCCCTTTGCACCAGCCCAGAACCCAGGCAAAGTGCAGACCAGAGAAGAACTCAGGCCTGCAGCATCTCCGTGGCCCACTGAACCCCAGGAAGCACAGGAGCAGGCAGAGGGGATTTATGCACTTGTTTTGCCTCTAGATCTCAGGTTTCTGGCCAGGGTGTGGAAGACAAGGTGGGATCCACCAGTGGGGAGATATGCATAGCAAAACCACCCAAAGGCAGCAGCTTTTGTGTTCTGAGCAGGCACAAGCCCTCCTTGCTTGATCACAGCAGACCTCACTGCTTCAGGCTTGTGCCTGCTGGTGCCATGTCCAGACCAGGCACTGAAAGGAGCCTGGCCCATGGTTTCAACTGACTTTTTGGCCTGGGGAATTTTGGTGTGATTCCTCTGGCCTGGTTGGAGCTTGGCTGCCTGTGCCAGTGAGGGAGGAGAGGATGAGCCACGGCTGAGAAATAAATACCCCTTTTTGCAGTCTCTTCATGAGGAAGTCGGAGCCTCCAGGCTTCTGGCCTAGGTTGGGGTATTTAGCCTTCAGTTTCGCTTCTTCTGCTCTCTCAGGGGTGATGGTTTCCTTCTCTTGCGTGTCCTAAAAAACAAAGAAGGGGGTGCAAAGCCCTTCAGCCCCACAGAAAAACACACACCTGTGATGCCATAGCACAATATTCAGCAGTGCATCCAAAGCCGGGCGCCTGGCTTGACGAGCAAGGGGTGGTCCCCTGGAAAACCCAGATGCACTCAGAGAACACTAAAAACACCTTCCCAGCCAGAAGCAGCTTTCACCTCCAGGACCTGTGGAAAGAGGCAGAGCCCCTCTCCCTGCTTCCTTCCCAGATGGGAGCCCCTGCAGGTGCTTGCGCTGACATTTGGCTTTGCAAACTGGTCTCAAAACGTGACCACAAATCGCTGCTGGACAAGCGTCTTCCCCTGACCGGCAACAGGTCAGACCAGCATTAACAAGCACCAGTCCAGAGCTGCCCAGCATGACGGGCTGCGGCAGAGCACTGCAGTGCTGGGAGGGTTCAGCCTTGCAGTGCCCCATTGCAGTACAGGTGAGATGGAAGAAACCCTTCTGCTCCCAAACCAATTTATTGGGAATGACAACCGGCACAGGTAGCAAAGCAGAATTTTAGCAGCTGTTTCACAGCCACAGGAGTTTCAGGATGCCACCCAGCCTGCTTGAAGCCTGGGACCCCCCGCGCCGACTGCGGCAGGAGGCGCCAGGCCCTGGTTGTCACCTGGCACCTCTGCAGGAGCTTTGAGACCACCACCCCCAAGCCACCTATCAGCTGAGCAACGATGCCCAAAGTGGGGCTCCCAGACCGGGGCTTGGGATCTCCTCCCCAACCACCAGCCTCTCTCTTCAGGGAGACACGTTTCCCCCCTCCAGGGAAGGGCTGCAGGCCTGGGGACAGGAGCTTTGGTCTGAGGTGGGAAGGAGTCAGGGTCCCAGCAGGGCCTGGAGAGCCTCACCCACAGCAAGGCCAAGTTCTAGCTGGCCACTGGCCTAGCTCCAATGGGAGCACGTCACCACTGACCACCTCTGCCAGTGGCCACGTGGGGCCAAGCCACCACATGAGCGTGAGTTGCTGTTTCACAGGATGTTGGCAAGGGGTGTTTTTCATCACTGTTCACTTTCCAACAGGGATGATGTTGGCAGACTTGGCAGCAGCAGCTCTGCTCCTGCCAGCCCAGCAGCACTGATGGATGCTGTGCGCATCTTCTCCCCAGTGCTGAGGCCCCAAACCGCTCCCAGCCCATCAGAGATGGCACAGTCCACGCAATAAGCACGGCAGAATGCTGCCACCACAAGCTTCTGCCCCACTCATGAAGCAGGGAAGCCCTCAGCATCAGATGGGATGAGCAAGCTGGCAGGATGCAGCTGGCAATCACACAGGATGGAGGTGGGTGCCTGGGGAGTCTTGGGTTCCCCAAGGACGAGGCACCGAAGCTCAGCCTGGTGGAGTTAAGGGATGTGCTCCTGTGAGTTCAACTGCCAGGACTTCCCTTCCCAGGTGGCCAAGAGCGGAGCTGGAGCCCACAAGCCCCCAGGCTGGAAAGCATTGCCAGAACTGCAAGAGGTTTCCACCGTGATCTTCCACTGGCGCTGACCTGGGGAAGCAGCTCTTTGCAGCGTGGCTGCGGCCCTGCAGCGCAGCTGCTCGCAGCGGCTATGAAAGGACGCCTGAAAAGGCTGCCATGAAACGGCTCCTCGGCTGTGTCTCAAGAAGGCAAAGCAAACCTGAGTTAACGGCAGCTCCCCACCGTCACAACTGGGACAACTGGAGCTGGGAGCAGCAGTGTGATGCGCAGGCTCGGCACATCCCACTCGAAGCCCCAGCCGCATAGGCTCCTCCTCACGCCCCCATCCATGGCGGTCCCCAGGGCATCGAAGGGGGAGCAAAGGCGCCGAGAGTCTCATCACGATCTTCAGCTTCTGCATGCTGCAGGGCTTCGCCCACGCACGGCCTGAAGGAGCCCAGCTCTTCTTATCCGTCTCCATGACAGCTCCAGGAATAAGAGCCATGGCCAGTGCACGCCACTCAGCCCTGCCACAGAGCCAGGCACCCCGCAAGCCCCAACATCAGATGGGTTAAGGGGGATTTTGGCAGCAGGAGCTGCAGCCTTGCTGCACGCAGCCCTTCCATCATCTCAGCCTGCTCTCCTCAGTTCTTCACCTTCAAGGCTCCTTCCTCCCTGCCCAGCTGAAAATGCTACTGTCCTCCATCGCCCCTTCTCTTCCACACTGTCTGTGGTGTGCTGCTGCACCCTGCTGCTCGCCCACCTCGTAGGCACCACTTCTTCTGCGGTACCCAGTAGAGCCAACGCCATGCCGCCGTCCTTAACGCCTGCTACTGGATCCCGGAGCCGCCCACGGTAGTGCCTCCACCACGGGAAAGCACCCACCGCCTTCTCCCCGTGCCCAAAAAGCAACACATCTGCCTCCCTCCTACGCCCACCCCCAGCGCTAAACTAACAGGAGGGAAGGGGAATACGCTTCTCCTGCTCCGAGGTAGCAGGGGTAGGGCTGAAGGCGGCCGCAGCAGGGGAAGGCTGCGGCTCTGCCTGCGTCCCGGGGCGGGTTCCACTGCCCGAGGGGCCCAGGCC